AAAAAGTTAATCAAAGTTGTCCTAAGACAAGAACGGGTATTGTTTTGGTTTTAGGACAACTTTGATGAAAGGTTTTGATCCACTTCAAATGTTGACTACTATAGTATATATTTATATATAAATATATTACTTGTTTTTCATGAATGTATTTTACAACAATACAAAGAGCAATGTGTAGGCCTACCAGATTTAGCCCTACACTTATTCACTTATTTGTTACCCACTAAATAATGTATTTTTTTTTCACTAAAAGTTTAGTTTTTTATACAATTATTGTGCACTCATGATTTTTCTAGAGTAACTTTTGCTACTGAATTATCCATTAACCTAGTTTATAATAGTATTTTTGTCATAGATTTTGATTATATGTTTTTGTTTGTTGTTTTTTCTTTTATAATGAAGCTGTCTATATTTAGTAGATTGTGTGTAACATACAAAAGAGTGATGATCGACCTACACATTGAGGTATAGAAATTCTACACTCATTTAAAAAAACTGCGCTGGTATCGGATCGGTATCGGTTCTGAAAAAGTGGTATCGAGCCATCCCTAATTTTCACCATAATGCATAAAAGCATCAACTAAATGACTAATTGAGTTAACTAGTAACTGTTGCATGTACATGGGTCAAAGACGTTAAGAAATTTACAAAAGTGATTTTATGTCCATAGAAAGCACATTAAATGTAAAGTAAAGTGTCTACTTTTAAGGCTTCAAATAAGTTGTTGGAGAATAAAATGTCAAAATTTGGTTGAAATAATGTTATATTGTCATTCAGTGTAACACAATATTTTTGTAAAAATTCAAACAACATGCTTATTCTGACATGTACATATTAAAATATATAAAAGAATAAGAGAGCATATTAAATTTTATTGAGTTTTAAATTAGTAAAAAAAATGCTTACTGACAAATGGGCAAAACCTAGGATAGTGGAAAATTTAAAAAATGTAAAATTACAACTATTTAGTATTTGGGGTGAAAGTAATTAGTCTTTTAATATGTCATAAATTGATTTTTGTTGTAAATATGCCTGACAAGAATGTTACACTGAATGACATTTTAGTGGGTGTCTTCTGTAAATCAGGGAAAAATGTATGATATTTATTTTTTGCTCAGAAAAACAAAATCAAAATTGCAATTAAATTAAACAGAAAACTTTTAAAATTTTTTTGGGAAAAACAACTATTTAAAGCAGTATTACACTTATTGTTTTTATGCTTAAACCCTTTTTTGTCTTTGACCCACATATCTAATAAAACAGAGTTCTTCTCTTTCTTTTTAGGTGGCGTTCTTTGAGGAGGAGCGAAGCATCCTGGCCCTGAACTCCAGTCCCTGGATCCCTCAGCTCCAGCACGCTTTCCAGGACCAGCACCACGTCTGTCTGGTGAGTGACCGCTTTAACCCAGAGTAGGAGATTCTCAGATGTCAGTTTAGGCTGCTGGAGTTTCCTCTGCTCTGAAGAATGATTTCATGTGTGATTTTGTGATCCGACTCGACTAATAATGTACGTTTGTTCTTTAAAAGACATCTGGTGCAACATTTCCTAATAATGAAAATGCACAAGGATCAGACCTTCCTTGAACTTCTTGGATGGGATTTATAGGGTTACCATTTGTTTTCATTTAGCCAAAAATATATATGTTGTGATTATGTAATCTAACTTGACTGATAGTGTAAGTTTGTTCTTTAAAAGACAACGTGAGATGTTGACATGTCGGGCTTTTTAAATACTGTTTAAAAAGTGCAATTTTCTTTCTTGGGTTGATGTGTTTTTATGGGATCAGTTTTACGACCAAAGGTATTGCAGTCACGGATAAAAAAATAAATAAAATAAGCATGAAACCAAAATTTAAAAACGCAAGTAAAAATATATTGCACAAAATATAAAAATGAAAGCAAACTTTTCAGAATAGTAAACAATGGTCATGGATTGAAAAAAATAATAAGCGTAAATCAAAAATGTAATAACGCATAAAAAAAAATAATAAGCATGAATCAAAACTTTAAAAACATTTAAAATCTAATTGCACAAAACTGAAATATTAATGCAAAATTATCCGACTTGCACACAAAATCATGTTTTCCTTGGTTATATTATGTTTTTTTGTGCTCTCAGACATTTTCTACTCATTTTTTTTTTTTGTATGCTTATGCTGTTTTTCCCTTCGCTCTTCCGTGTTCTGCACTTGTTTCCAAATGTTGTGGTTAGAGTTTCCTGTAAATCAGGGCGGGCTTAAGCGTCATCATTGGTCCACTAGTTCTTAATTGACAGCTCCTCCTCAAGCCAATCAGTCGAAGAGGGGTGTTGATGTCACTCCAATGCGCCTCATTAGCTGCCGATGCTCAGTGTTGAATTGTACAGGTGAAAATGGACAACCGTCAGCTGGGGTAAGATTTTCCATACAGGACACCGTTTCATGTGCCTGCCTGTCACTGCTGTACGCCTACCTGCCGATCCATAACCGTTAAATGAGTAAACTGTGGTAAATTAATTATGAATGAATGTAATGTTTTTGCATTGACTAGGCTAGATTTCAGTACTGATTAATGAAAAAGATTACAGAGGAGACACTTACAGAGGCCAGGTGCATTTGAAATACACAGTGATTTATTTGCGTACTTATTGTGTTTATTTACATAGCTGCATATATAATTGCATAACACTATCATATTCATGTTAGGGGTCGACTGATATGTGTTTTTCAAGGCCGATGCTGATACCGATTATTATAGATCAAGTAGACCGATATTTTGAACCGATATATATATGTCTGGTGTAAAAATTTACTTTTTTCAAAATTAAAAATAACAAGGGCTCTGACAAAAACTTTTTTTAAATGCTTTTAAATTATTGTATCGGCAAATCGGTTTTGAAAATGAACAATACAAATAACCATAAAAATGCTTAATATCGGTGCCGATAATCGGTCGACCCCTCATGTTTTAAATACATAAAGTTTGAATATAGTAACAATATGAAACTAAAACAGCCAGTAGGTGGCAGCAAGTTACTATCTTGAGTGAGTGAGTCATTAAATCATTAATTCAAACAGCTGATTCATTCAGTGAGGAATAAAGTGAATCATTCACTCGACCGATCCGGTCAAAATCCAAACCAATTCATTCAATAGGAAAGGAAATTTTAAGTGTGTTTAAAGTTTTGATTCATGCTTATTATTTTTTTTAAATGTGTTATTACATTTTTTTTATTTATGCTTATTGTTTTTCGATCCGTGACCATTGTTTGCTATTCTGAAAACTTTGGTTTCATTTGAAAAATTGTGCAATATATTTTTACTTGTGTTTTTGAATTTTGGTTTCACGCTTATTATTTTTTTATTTGACTGCAATACTTTTGGGTGAAAATTGATCCCATATATTTTCCTTATACAACAGGAAGTTTGAGTGGCACATATCAAAGGATTTATAGTTTTGATTTGTGTCGGCTCACAGTAGATTAAACTAGGATGGTGTTTTTTAACATCCATGATACACTTCACCTTTAAGAGGATAGATAAACATGATCCGGCTGCTTTATTTAGCTAAAACTCCCTTTGTGTCAGCGGTGAGGCTTAACACGGCACTTTGTCTGTCTTTCTAATGGATGTTTGTGATCATGGCGGGTGACAATACAGCGAATGTTCACGGTGTTCTTGCCCTGCTTCGTACAAACTATGTGTGTGTCTTTCATCTGTAGAGCTACAGTCTGACCTGAAGATGAGGACATGAAGTTTACTTCAAAGTTTAGATTCAGAATTATAGAGAATATTTCCTGTAGAGAGAGACATGCGAGTTAAAAACAGCTCTTACATCATCTGACGTTTCCATTCACATGTTACTGAGAACGAAAATGTTGCCTGAGGATCAGAACTTCCTCGAACTGTTTGGATTGAATTTATGTGGCTATAATTTTGATAATAATTTATTTATGTTTTATATACCTCAAGGTCGCTTTTCAAATACATAATATATAAAACAAACACATAATCCAAGCAAAACAAACAATACAGAGACAGAAACAAGAACTAATTTGAAGTGGGAAATGTCACAGAATTTTGTTAGTGATGCACCGAAATAAGCTATTTTTACTGAAAACCGAAAAAAAAGTTTTCATTTAGCCAAAAATACATTTTTAGTAACTAAATTTGGGTAACTGAATTCGAAATGCTGTTCAGGGTGTCGTCGTGTTCTCAGGTGATAAATTAAACCAGTCTTGATATTTCAGCCAAACACATTTTTATATTATTTTAGTATTTTAATATTATTAATAAAATATTATATTATTTTTCAATTGCCAAAACTTCAGAGCATCACTACCAGTTAGGAAAAAAACCCATGCATATCTCAAAAACTCTGCATGTCACTTGCATCCCAACTAACATCTGTACTAGGTGTCGACCGATTATCGGCGCCGATATTAAGCATTTTTATGATTATCGTCATTTTCAAAACCGATTCGCCGATAAAATAACTTAATTTTGAAATGCGCTATTTGGCTCTGATGCAGCCTGTCAGAACTCACCACTCTGTGGCCTAAAGCAATCTCTGCCCACCGCTCATCTGATTTGTTGGGAGTCATGAGTCCGACCAATCAAAGCGGAATTCACTCTCACTCCGAAAGCGCTTGCTAACTGGAGCTGCTTCAGTGATCACACATCAGTTGTCTCTCAAAGGTAAGGCAGCAGCAGACGTTGCTTAAGTTGCAATAAATCACAATCCACTAACATTACGCTGAAGTTGCAAAACACCTCAATATTATCTATGATTTCCGCGATGCGGAAAACGCGGACGGAATCGCGGAATCCAGTCATATAAATGGAATTTACTGTATGACGCGGAATGTCACGGAATATGTCAAAGTTTGGATGAATTAATCAAAAGTAGGTCAGTACACTTAAATAGAGTCGCAATATGGACTAGTATCTGTAAATATTAAGCCGCAAAAATACTATTTAAATATGGTGCCGGTTAGACCCTGCTCCGGAGTAGGAGCTAATTTGGTTCTCTCAAAAGGCAGTTCGGTACTAAAATCGCACCCAGTTCCGGCGGTGCGAAAACGCCAAAAAGTTGGCAGTTCCATAATTATCTTTGGAAATCGCCTTTCCTAATAATGTGCTAATTAGCAAGTTTCACGATGAATGCGGCTAAAGTTTACAGTCTCTCAGAGAGCTCCAAAATCTCGACTTGTTACCAAAGGTGACCGCACTTTTGCTATCCGTGCGCCTAAGCTATGGAACTCCCTGCCTGGGGATATTAGGCAGGCTCCTACTGTATCCTCTTTTAAGTCTCTTCTTACGACTCATTTTTATCGTATGGCTTTTTCTTAATTTTGATGGTATTTTTTGTATTTTGTTACTGTACTGATCTTTTTATCGTAAAGCACTTTGTAACTTTGTTTTGAAAGGTGCTATATAAATAAATGTTTACTTATTTCTGCAATGTAAAACAGAGTCTATTGCTGTATTTGCATAAAGTTCAACATTGTTGCATCGCCGACTCTGTGAAGATCAGAGACTTTTGCACATTGTGTTGCTGTAAATCACTGTGAGCGTGAACAGCCTGATAGAGAGAGACTCATGAAAGAACTCGAATCCTCTCAGAATCATTCACTGGGTCTTTGTTTGCTTGTTCTCATGGAGGGAAAGACAGTCTCGCATTTCCTTGCAGGAGAACATTGTGTTCTTGTCTCAGTGAAGAGTCGCTCTTTTCAGCCGTACCGTTCATTTCCATGTCTTGTTGTTCTCCTTAAGACCAGCAGAGTGAACCCTCAGCATCCAATCCCACAATCCTTTACTGTGTGAAGACGCTTGCTTTACAATTGACCAAAGAGCCTTTGATGTGAAAAGTGGCGCAGATCTGACCAAAATATATCCATAATGAAGAGATTAGCATTTTCTTGGTGACCCTTCAGGAGTGAAGGAATCCAGCTTTTGTTCTTCAAAGAAGTGATGCTGTTTTTAGTCCTTAAGCCATCAAACATATTGTAGCAAAGCTTAATAAACTAATAAACTAGTCTGGGAAAACTGCTAATCTGCCAAACCAGATCTATTTTAAAGCAGCAAATTCCCCACGGTCATAAAAATGAAACTATTAGTGACATTACATTTTCCATTATAACTAATAGTTTACTTAACTTAGAGGGATAGTTCTCTCAAAAATGATCATTTTCTATAAAGCTACTGTATCATATTTAATACGCACATTTCTAAGGCTCTAAATGATCAACATGATCAAAACTTTGCTGTTAAATCTGTCGCACACAATCTACTAGGAATGATCTTCACAAGCGTTTATTTCTTCATCTCTCAATCATCACTGGATTGCATTGCATTATATGTTCTGATCATTTCAATCTCATCTTACTAAGACATATTACTGGAGATATTGAGCGACGACTGATATTTAGATCAT